TTTTTTTTATAGGAGAGGGGGCAAACGAGCATGTGGCTCACCTAATGGTAAGTGACTACCGCCGCCCATGAACAACCGCAACACCAGGGGAATTGCAGATGCGTTGCCGGCCTTTAAAATAAAATTTGCGGCTCTATATCAGTTCCATCATGTTGATGTTTAGTTTTAAGTTTTAAGTTAGGAATATGATAAGATAGAGCATTCATTGTAACTCCGTGCACAAGAGTTCCTAAATAAACTAAAAAGAAAAAATATACTCAAGCGCTAGATTGACCGGCTTATAATAAGTAAAAAAAGATCTTGGTCAGAAGCGGATTTCTTATATATAATCTACAATTGATTTTAGATATTAAGAACTTTTTGAATAGACTTAAAAACAAATACTCGCACAAGTTTTTGTTTATGAAAAATAAAAAGAAATACGTTTCTTCCATGAATACAATTAATTTTAATCACCTTTAAAGTGAGATAGTAAAAAGATTGTATAAAAACTGTTTCAAATACTTTTGTCCATGGTTCATCCAGGGATACGTCGGAAGGACGTCTTCATAACCGCTTTCAGAGTGTAAATAAAATAGATAGTTTACGCTCAGAGTTTACGATAATTAGGATAACAGATTTTTTACGCTTTCCGTAATAATAATGATTTTAGCAAAGTAAAAGTAGAATTCAATGAGTAATAGCGTTGTGTGATTTCAAAGCTATTTTATTCAAATGCCATTCTTAATCGATAGTTAATGATTCAAAATTTCTTGCGATTTTTTTTTTATTTAGATATACATTTACTTAAAAACTGGTAAAATAAATAAAATAATAATATACGTTTGTTGAATATTTATGAGTCAAGCACTGTATAAAACTTACCTTCAAAATAAAACTTGACGATTAGCTCTTCGCCTGTCAAATCTGGCAATTCACTGAGCACATAAATATGATATTTTTCACTTGTTATCCATTGTTTCAAAATTCTTGGTGGGTTTTTGAGGCATTGTAATGATTGTTTACTGATTGTCTACTTTACGTGCCGAGGTATGCTGCTACAGCCGGTATAAAATCTCGTGGCGCGTGTTCGAGAGTGACGTGTCGATACGCACGTTAGAACTACAGCACTGAGTCGAGTCGAGGCTGAGCTGAGCTGAGCGTAATCGGAACTCAAATTGAATTGAGTGCAAATAAATAAACCTTGTCGCCCCGCCACGGCTCCACTGACTGCATTGCGTGCGTGGAAACGGTGACTGTCTCGTACTAGTTCATTGCATTTTCATTTACGCTAATTCATTGAGTATATTGCGCCTTGTTGTTATTATTGTGTGCCCTTTGAAATACGGTCAGGAGAATAGTTGCGGAGAGCGCGAACCAGATAATGTTTTATCAAAGTATATAACCTATAAAAAATATATAGTTTAAGAGGTTATTCAGAATGTTCACATGGGTAAAATACCGCAAAAAGAAGGTATATTTAGAAGACTTTGGTAGTACCATATTTCAATTACCTCTATCCTTATTCACGTGTTTGTCTTAGTCTATATATTATAATATACTATGATTCAGGCTCCGAATCATCGAAATGACAAAGTTTAGTAGTTTGCAATTAGTTTGAAAAATCTTCAAATAATCTGATTTGGTGTCCATTTTGCTAAGCTGTTCGTTACTATCCTCTTGATCGTTTCAAGTTTGTTGCATTTGCAGCGGCCACATGTTTACCACTCCAGTATTATACAAATATTAATGATAATGGAGGCTGATGAGTGATGACACACTTATTGTTCAAGTACTGGTAGCTATAATAAACGTTGACTAACGGATTTAACAATTTATTTTATTATCTTTAAAACGCTTTCAAAATTAGTCAAATGAGTTAAGAACGACACAAAAGGTCAGTTAAACCGATCAGTTCAACTGACGTACATCCAAAAACTAACCGTGTGAGTCGAGCTTAAATAACTATAAAAAAAATCCTTTTATTTAGTAGAAGAATTTTTTATTAATCTTTGAAATTACCTCATTTAATGCAGATATATTGAAACAAAAGCTACGCAAGTATCACACGCTGAAACAAATTTCGTGACATCGGTCTGCATATCCGGCCATCTGTAGTATCGAAGAGCAAGCAATCTGTAGGTCTTTAAGATTTCTAAATGACCAGCAATAGGTTTTAAATGGTCTACCCCAATAGCAGTAAGTGTTATGGCAAGTAATACTTTTTTCCATCCCCATTCATAAGCCTTCAGATAGCCTATAAAGGTGTAATATTTTTTATTTATTATAGGCGTATTTTATAAACCTATAACTGTTTTTATTTTCAATCCGTGTGTGTAATTAATTAAATATTGGGTCCTTACATATGAAATTAGAGTTTTGTCGTACTGACCATTTTGATTTCAAATATTTCCTCTTTGGTTAAGAATTCCAAATTCAAATTTATAAATTCATTTAGCTGGTACATTTGAGTTTTGAAAACAGTCATTCATTTATTTTTTTCTTTGGCGAAAACATGAAATATCGGTATATTTACGAGTACGAGTTCTACCGTAGCACCAGTGCTGCAGAAACAGCTCAAAGGATTAATGATGTGTACTGCGTTGGTGTCGCAAAAGAAAGCACAGTACGTTTTTGGTTTCAACGTTTTCTTTCTGGAAATTTCGACCTTCAGAACCAACCCCGTGGACGACCGGAGACCAAAGTGGAAAATGAAGAATTAAAGGCTATTGTGGAAGCGGATCCATCACAAAGCACTTCTGAGATAGCTGCAGGCTTCGGGGTAAGTGATAAAACTGTGTTAATCTACTTGAAGCAAATCGAGAATCTAAAAAAAACTTGATGAATTGCACATGAGTAAAGAAACCGACAAGAGGGGAAGCTACATACAAACATCTCGCTACGGGTACACCCACACATAGCGCAGCGATGTGTGCGTGAGCTCTCACCGACAGGTTCACGACGCTCCGTCAGGGTACAAACCGGTTTGCGCCGGCTCAGTCAGAGTGTGAATGAAAGGGCTGTTGGTCACGCGCATTGAAATAAATAGACGAATAATATTTCGTGATAAAAAAAATAAAAGATTTATTGATCTTTGATATATAATCAATAAATCTATTTTTTTACAATTAGAGTTAAGTTTAGAGAACGTGTACTATAAAATAAGACATTATAGATTTATAAGTATATATTTATATTAGATAATTAGTGTTCGTATAAGCTAAATACCTAAATTGGACATACTTTATTTCTTTTTTTTATTTCTTTTAAATACTGTGTATGAAAAATTCGAGAGAAAATAATACAATAGTCAGACAATGGTGCAGTTTCTGTTAGTGGTAGTACTGCTGGTGATGGTGATGGTGGACGGTGGTGCTGATCGTGCGGTGTTGGTAGCAGTGGATAGTGGAGCGCCACTGGCGCTACAACCACGACCAGCAACACCACCACAGTCCTTACTACTGCCACCATCATCCTGGTAGTAACCTGGTGGTGGTGGTGTATCAACACCGCCACTGCCCACACCACCATCATCGCAGTCATTCTAATACCATCAGATTTTTTGTACTCATGAATACGTTGTCTTACGAAAATGATATTGATAGAAATATAGATATGTATATGTAATATGAAGCTAAGCATGAAAATAAGCAAAAAATACAATTTTTGCAGTTTCAATTTTAATTACAAATAACAGACATGTTATTATATAAACTTAAGTTACAATTAATACATATGTTATTTTATACAATATGAATTTTATTCTTTCCTTAAAATTTTCACATGCATCACATAACCCTATCAGAATAGGTATAGATTTTCGACGTTGTTAGAAAGCTTCCCCTCTGGTCTTCTTTACTCTGTGTTGAGAGTATGACATTGGGACGTCATACACCTCAGTCCCCCCCCCCCCTTACCATGGGTGCTGTAAAGTATTCGAAACGTCGGGAATATAAAATAAGTTAATATACACGATAAAATTCGTAAAACTAGTTTTATTTAAAGGTCCAGCCATTTTCGAGTATTTGCGAGACTAACGGACAAGAATTGATTTTTATATATAGAGATTGTTATATGTATTCACCTTTAAAATTTGTCATTTTCTTTTAGGCGTTGCGTAAACTTAGACACTTGTTTCTTGTGTAGGATAGAAACTTCCAATGAATGCTTTATTTTTATGTCATCAATATGAAATCAGCCATTCCTTGCGCCAGGCGCAGACACTTATTGTGTTCAGTTGCTTCCACTTGACACATACCGATCGCCAATCAAAAAGTGTTCGGTGTAAGTAGCTAGAAACCTGAAGACTAAAGCGATACAAAGCAAATTTCCTTACAATTGTACGGCGCTGACATTGACGTGGTTGATTTGCCTGTAAATATTGACGGCGACGACGTCTACGTCAACGTGTAATTAACACAACAAGCAAAGGTAATGTTTCTCCATCGACATCCAAGGTGAAACTGACGGAAACAAGCAAGAAATTGTTACCAGTGACTAGAAGCGGCAACCGGCGACTGTGTCTGGTTGCCGCTACCGGCCACAACGACTACGGTTGCCTGTGATGTATGCCGTGTCGGTAACAAAAAGAGTCCACGTTTGCGCAGCGCCTTACTCAACTCAAAGACGAACAGTTATGTTTTTCGGGTATATTTGGGTACGTTTCTATGTAGGTATGTATGTTTCTATCTCTTCCTTTGTGACCTCAGGTTTTTTAAGTGCGAGGTGTCCTATGAATAAATATATGTTTACTATTCTTACAACTAACGTAGCAATTCCATAAAGCAAAACTGGTCTCTCATAAAATACTTAATAAAGAATTACAATGAGACAAGTACAATATTCAAACAGTCATGATGATGACGATGAAAAGACAATAATCGCAGTTAAATTATGTAGTTATTTATAAATTTCTACAAAAAAAAACATTGTATATGACTCCTTAGCACTTTATTATATTACCTCTCTTTTCTTGAATGTACAAATACATATATAAAATATTTAGCTGGGCTTCAACATGTTTAAAAGTCGATGTCCCAACCAGACGTTTCATCAGGCGGTAGCTTGTCTTTCGGGTACTTTTCAAAGTTGCTGAGATCAAAATCGTTGGCAACAGGTTGAATCAGCGGTGCTTTCAATTTTCTATCGCGCAAACCTTCCCAGTCGAAGCCCAGGAACCACCTAGAAATTAAACATTTTTAAATATTACATTATACAGGATTATTTTTCAAAGAGAAGCCAAATTTTAAACTTATTGTTATATACCGTTATTGCAGTTTTTGAAAATACAAGTCAATAAGACTTCTACTTTTATTTGAAATTATCCCCAATTGAATGTGATTTATGGGCAACAACGTTTTTGCCTACAGATCGACCCTTACGAATGTGTGTGTGTGCAGTAAAAATTTTTAAAATAATACATTACCAAGATTTTGAATTTTAAAGATAAAAAGGACAAAATATCTAACATTTTTTAATTAGTTTTTGTTTACCATTTGCCTATAATACTTATTCGGAACCTTCTTTGCAAATTTGGCCGATTATTGCAAAATAACCCTGTTTAATATTAGTAAATTGATTATTGTTTAATTGTTATTAGTTAAATGTAGTCCTTCTCTGTTGGCCGTATGAGATAGGTCCACGCGTGCGATGGAAAGGGAAATTTCTCTGCGAAATAAAATCCTTAACGAGGATATTCGCAGAACATGAGTAACAACCGATGAGGATGAAAGGTTCTTAAATGGCAGCCTCGTACTGGAAAGCGAAATGTGTGATGACCCCTCACTGAATGTAGTGACGACCTGACGAAACACGCATGTACTCAATGGCTGCAAGTAGCTCAGAACCTTAATTTGTCAGGACTTATGATAGGCTGTAGTGTTTGTTAGTGATAGTGTAATTAAGTGTGACTGATAGATATACTAAGAAAAAAGTAGTAGCGAATTAAATGATAGTACAATTTGGTACTTATTTTTAAAGACAACATAATATTACATATTAGAAAAGGATGAGTGAGTGCCAGTGTTTGCGCATACACTTGAAACGGACACTGTTGAAATCGGCTAAACATCGATTAACATCAATTATAATTTTATTATTATTATTTTTACGTGGTAGAGCCACGCTGCAACACAAATGGGTCGCCTCGACCGGGAAAGGAATACCAACGTGAAATAGCAGCGAGACATTTCAACTTGGTCTATATTATCGATAAATTAGTATAATAATTAATTTCTACTTTTCGGTATCTTGATGGCCTGATAGAGATTTAAAACGTAGGGCGATAACCTTTTAACTTACTTCTAGATAGATCTTAGTAGAACTAGTAATACCTGTAAACAAAGAATATTACGAGTAATATATGAAGGTCTATCGTGTTAAGTCGCTAGATCTTGTTGACGGAAATATAGGACTTCCATCCGTCTGGATTTTCTTGGATTGGTCCTAGGGCGTCCGGGGGCTGTGCGAAAGAGGGTAGAAAAAGCGTTTTTTCATTTGTTTCATATTTTGTATCCAGGGGACACAGGATTAATTGGAACTGCTGGGAATGAAACCATTTTAGGATAAATTGGGAAGAGTGGAAAATAATAAAACATAGTTTTAAATAAGTAATTAGAAAAATTAATTCGAAATGTAGAACTTGTAATATACAATAAATATTTAGGCTATTATCTAAATCATAACTTGTCTGTCACCACACAGATAGGATGGAACGGGATAGGTCTCTTCGCTCATCTCTTGATACGGGAAAGGTTTCGCATTCTACCGCAGACTCGACGGTGATAACCCATGCAGGTCCTTTCTCGTTGAGGAAATTGAGCTGGAGTTTTTTTTTTACCCCTCCTTTATATCCAAGCGCACGGGAACGGCGGGCGGCGGGGATATGCTAACCTCCGGCGCCCGCCTTTCTGGCTGCGGATTGGGATATCTACAACTTCCTTCTTTGACTTCACGTATTCGCAGAATGTAGCACAGACGATCCACAACCTTTCGCATCCAACCATAGCCTTAATCAAGGTCATCAACAACTACATCCACGAGGTCACGCAACTCAGCCCAAGCTAGGCAATCCTCTAGTGTATGATGCGCTGTGTTCGTCTCTACCACAGTGGTGGCACTTGGTAAGCGGCTCCTTTCAGATATATGGCACAGGTACTTACCAAAGCACCCCATGTCCAGAAAGAACCTGCACCAGCCGGAAGGTCAATGATTAATGCCGCCTGTTTACCAACTCTGACAGGGCCAGATGAACAGCCTCAACAGTTCCAAGTTGCTCTTTTCACTTTTTAAACATAATTTGACATTTGATTCGTTATGGATAACCGCCAAGTCACAGTGGATGGATTTCAGCAATGCCTTCAATGCTGTAAATTATTACAATATCCTAATTGGTGTACTATGTTTTCAAATATATCTCCAACTGCAAATTACTGATTTTGTAGTTACTTACATGGACGCCAACAACGTGTTCGGGTACAAGACAGAATGTCATCATGGCTTGATACCATTGCTGGCGTTCCACTAGGTGGTGTGTTCTCTCCACTCTTATTTGCAGTTTTCATAAATTCCATTAGCTCCCATATATCTTCTCTTTACCGCTTGTGTGCCGATGATCTCCAGATATAGATATATCTGCTACAAACACCGTAGAGTATCTTCCAAAAGCAATTTGCGATATTAACAAGAACCTAGCGTGTATTCTTGACTGGAGTCGATCTTATGGGTTAACCATTAATCCTATAAAATCCCAAGCGATATTTATTGGTAGTTCAAGAATAATATCCAAAGAAAATAAAACTCAATTAAACCCCATAATATTTAATGGTGTTCAAATCCCTTAAAAGGACGGTTGCAAAAAACTTGGGAATCTTGATTTGATTCTAGCCTTTCTTGGACTCCTCAATTCAACGCAATGTGTCCTAAAACTTGATCGATTCCAAAATTTATCCATAGGCTTCTTCTTTAGACTTCGTAAATATGACCGTCTCACAATACCGCGTTAAGCTCAAGTGGTTTTCAATTGGCCTTTGTTGGAATACTCATATCCTTTCTGTTCTCTACTGCGTCTTATTTAATATAATCAAGTACCCCCTACCTCAAAGAACGTTTCCAATTTCTCAGTTCCTCTCATAACCTTTCCATTGGGTCCATAGAAAATATTTCCCTTCTACGTTCCTTGCACTTCTCCACTTTTTATAGTAAATGTTTTTCAGTTCTTGGAGTCAAGCTTTGGAACTCTTTACCACTAACTATAAAATGTGCTCAAACAATAGACTCCTTTAAAAACAAGTTACTAAACTTTATCTTTCCCTATAATTACTCCCCCTCCTTTCATCTCTTCCTGTGGCTTTATGGTTAATAGTCTGTCATTTAAGTAAATTATGGCATGTTTATTAATTTGTATTTTATTAATTGATTTTAGATTATAATATAATTTATAGTGCACTTTACCCATTAATTAACTGTTCACTTCTTTTTATTTCCTTTTTAGCTTGTCTGGAAGAAATTCATGTATAGCAGTAAGACCGCCTTTTGTTTTTCTCTCTGATTGTTGCTTGTTATGTTATGTTATTTATTTTTTTAGTGTACAATAAAGGGTATTGTATTGTATTGCGTATTGTATTTTCCGAGCATGAAACATCCGCATTTCCCACTCGCTGAGAGGGTGATGATACCCTTGGCACCCGGAGTTCTGATCGCCAATTGATACATGAACATTCTCACCTTCTAAGGAAGGTAATGGTTCTTTTCGTCAGAATAGTACTTTTACGATCCTACGGCCTTTATAAGGCCATCCGTTGGGATAAACCTTACTGCCCGCAAGTAAAGGCGGCGTCAAATATTTTGGCTATAAAGTGTAACTATGAATCTAATTTTTTTTTGTTACATACGAGTAGGTAGGCTACCCAGGTAATTTAGTTTTTTTAATTTGATGAGAGCGTTTTTATATATTAGTTCAAATTACCTATATATGAATACCGTTACCGTTACAGCCTGTTGAACATTGGCCTCCCCCATAGATAACCTCATAGGAATATTGGTCATAGTTGCCACGCGTGGCAAGCGGGTTGGCAACCACAGTATTTTTATTTTTAGTCGTTATTAGGAAGATTTATCTCCTGATTTATTCCGTCTGTATGCCTCTTATGACATCCACAGGATGATATGGGGTAGAGTGGTATTCTTATATTTGAGCAAGTGGATGAGTTTGTATATTTGGGATGTTTATTTAGTAGGGATGGTAGATATGATAAGGATATAGAACGACGAGTGAACGCAGGAAATAGAGTGAATGGGGCTCTACACGCTATTATGAGGAGTCAGAATGTGTCAAATAAGGCACGTATGGCAATTCATAATGCTGTGTTAGTCCCTACTTTAATGTATGGCAGTGAAAGTTGGGTCTGGCAGAAGAAGCATGAGAGTAGAATAAATGCTGTAGAAATACGTTCCTTAAGGAGTATGCTAGGGCTGAATCTGAATGACAGGGTGAGACATAGCGTGATAAGAGAAAAGTGTGGTGTGCAAGATGACGTTGTGACAAGGATTAAGAAAGAAATGCTTCGGTGGTTTGGTCATGTAGAAAGAATGAACGAGGAAAGAGTGACAAAGCAAATTTATGTTCCAGAAGTGAACGGCAGGGTCGGGAAGGGACGCCCTAGACGAAGGTTTATCGACCAAATTGGCGAAACATTAAAAATGGGCCAGATTAGGAGTACCCTTAACCGACGAGCGTGTATGCGTAGATATATGGATGTAAAGGAGGCGAGAGAGGTGTGTCAGGATCGCGCCAAATGGAAGTCCGTAGTCTCTGCCTACCCCTCTGGGTGACAGGCGTGAGTGTTTGTGTGTGTGTGTGTGTGTGTGTTGTGTCACTACAGGATATACCTTCATATATTAGTTCAAATTAACTCACAAAGAGAATATTGTAAAATGTATTAACAAGTTAATTACTACGACTTAATTATTAAAAATAATAATGGAAAGTAAAGATGGCAGCCCTACATAGATGGAACAAAGAAACCATTAAAGTGTCCGCTTATAATGCTAACCCTAACCTAAACCCTATTTCATATAATTTTTCTAATGATGTATATTAAAGACATGGTTTTTTCTTTTATTTATAAAAAAAACATTACTCCGCACACTAGCACTAGCAATAGGTATTCTTACAAAAGGGC